GCAATCGTGCGAAACTCCCCGGATGGTCGTTCGCGGGGTCCCTTCTACCCAGAAGGCAGCAGCTTTCCTACTGACTACGTCCTTACAGGCCTCAAGGTCATCCTTTGACAAGTAGGGTCTCTTCAGCAGTCTTGCCGAAGTGAAGCCCTTCTACTACCTGTTCCCTGTATTCAGGGGTCCTCCTGGGGTCCTCAGTCACCTTTGAACCACTGAGTCGGTACACATAAAGGTCGGACTTCACGGAATCCCATTCCCCTTTCTTAGCAAGACCGTCCCAATGGATCCTCATTTCCTCGGAGAACTTCAAAAGTTCAGCCTCGAGTCGTTCCCTTTCCGCAGCCGTAACCGATTCCCACTCCCCTCCGGTAAGGACATCGGCCTCGGGAGAGGCAGCGGCCGCGTTGGCATGCAACCGCGGCTCCGCGCCCTCTTCCGAGCCGGCACTCCTAGGATGGACGGCGAAGACGGACGATCCGACAGGCATAGAACAACCGAATTGCTGTGGCTCCTTCAGCCACTCCGAAAGGGGTCCATCCCCGTGACACTTCTTGACTTCAAGTTGTTTGGAAGTGGGACCAAGGGACACCCAGTAGGATTCACACAACTCTTCGGGGTAGATCCCACTCAACTTACCTGCACCTGCCCACTTCGGCCCCAGTCCGGGCTCATTGTCTTCCCTTATCTTCATCGAGCCTCGGATTTGCCGGTGTTGGTGCAAAGTCCTCAAAAGCGCGTCCGGCTTCCTACACCTCAGAGAGAACCCAGACAGGTCGGAGTTGCTGACCCATATCTGCCCTTTCTCAACGGGGTTTCCAAACGATCCGTCACTCACGTCCAACGAGGTCATGTTGTACTGACAGGAGTCGGTCCGAACCATGGCCCAAGGCCTCCTAGGTTCAACGAGGGTCCCGAATCTCTTGACGAAAAGTTCAAGGGAAAACAGCAAACTCCCGGCAGGGTTCTCAAGGGTTCCGATGCCGTTCGCTTTCTCCTGGTGGCTAAGCAGGTCACATGAAAACTCTGCTAGAGCCAAATCCTCACTCGAGGGGGTCTGCTCGCCCAATCGGCTCAGCTTTTCACACGGCGCCCCCACATGGAGGACTTTCGGTTTCATCACCTTGCTGATCAACCAAGCAAGGAGCGCCCGGTCCGAGTTCTTTCGCAGATCCCAATCCCGACCGTAGCTTCTATACAGCCGGTCAACGGGTTCTCCAACCAACAGACCACGGCGCCTAGCGGCCTTAGTGAGCCCACCGTGTCCGGCGAAAACCTCCAAGAAGTCAACTCCGTGCTGGGGCACACCTTCATTCCGAAGGTATTCAAGGACAGCTTTCTGTTCTTCCGCGAAGCCATCCGAAGGCCCAGCGGCGAACACTCCCACGCCACTTTCTGTTTTTCCGCCTTTGAGGATCCCGACCAGGTCGTCCAGGGGCTCAGAGTACTCATGCTCCCCTCGCCTTTCCGGGTCCCTCTGGGCCGGAGGCCGCTCTTCAAGGCGGTACCCTCCTTTGTCAAGCTTCCTGGCAGATGAAGCTTGCAGGATTCCATCCCTGCTCAGCTCAACCTTCGTGATGAGCAGGCTCATCTTCACTTCCTCTATGCAAGGACGTCCTCCTTCCGGGGCCAGAGATTCTTGCCCCTGCTGGTCCAAGTACAGAAGGCACCACTTCACACGCAGTCCGCCGATCTCCGGCGCATACTTGTGAACGTGCACTACTCCTTCCGAGACCGCAGCTGACGTGACCCGTCCAATTGCGCAAAGCTTCGGACCGTATCCTTTTCTGAACGCAATCACGTCTCCAATCTTCAGGACGTACTGCTTACCTCTTCTCTTCATCGTGAACTCGACCTGCTTAGTTTCCCCTTTGATCATCTGACCTAAGCTGGGTCTCGAGTCGTCTGGATCCGAATCAAATTGGATCTCATCTCTGGCGTCGGCACACACATCGTCCGGGATCAAGACGCAATCTTCGGCATGAGCTGCGAGAGGCTGGGCGCCGTCGGGTCCGGCCAACTGTAGTCTGTTCCCTTTGCACGAAACGACTTCCCAAGGGCCGGTCAGACCCTTCTTCCACGGCACTCGCCCTTTCGCCCCCGGGTCTGACAGGCCCGGAGCACGCCATACCACACGATCCCCGACTTTGAGGTCCACCTCGCGACGGTAGCGGTTCGCGAGCCTCACACGGGCCTCGCTCGCGCTCGTGAGATGGTCCTTCACGACCTTGCTCACAGCCTTATATTGGCCAAAAATCTTCCGAGCCCAGTCCGAGACCGGCTCAAATTCCAAAGTGCTCTTGAGTAGGTCCTTTTCCAGAGGCACACCCAGGGACCAAGCTCTGTCCAGGTCTCTGGGCGTATAGCCATGAGGACCCGGGGTCGTGTCGATGCAGTACTCCACAACTGCGAGAAGGTCGCCCCAATGGTCGGTGTGCCCCCTCGCCACATCTTTGACAACGATCCCAAGCATCTTCTGCACTTCTTGATGCACCCTCTCATTGGCACCCATCTCACACGGACGGAGAGGGTGAGAGAGCCACTGACTCGCACCGATGAGGGCGCAATATTCAGCGAACATCGCGGACCTAAACTCAGGTCCTCTGTCCGACCGTACCAAGGTCGGTAGCGTCCTGCTACGCAAGACACACCTGGCGAAGGCGCGCCTAACTTCAGCGTGGTTGAGGGCACGGAGCGGCTCCAAGTAAACCGCGTGCGAGAGACAGTCCATGTACGTCAAGGAATACCGATTCCCTGCGTAATCCTCCTTGTTTGGACCCTCGCAATCGACAGACACCTCTTGCCAGCAATAGTCAGCCGCCGGTTTCATCGGCTTCGTGGTGACTTTAGTCGCCCTCGACCTCGCCTTAAAGCACGTCAGGCACTTTCCTACCCAGGAGTTGATATCTTCTTTCATCGTGGCCCACCAGACCACACGTTTCATGAGAGCATACGTCTTCTCAGCCGACCGATGCGCGCCGAACACTCCACAATGGAACTGGAGGTAGCACGCCTTCCGCCAAGTAACTCCAGAGCTAGCAGCGACTCCATTCGGCACTACTGGCACCGTGGACACTGCACCGCCTGGCAGACTGACTTCCTTCTCAAGCATCCCGTCTGCAGCCCTCTTGTATCCTTCCGGAGTCTTCCGGAGTGACTCCGCGAGTGAGGGGTCCTTGGATTGAGCCTCAACCCAAGACGCTCGCAGGGAGCCTGTCACTTCAAAGTTCGACATCCCCGCCGCGGCCTTTGCTTCTTCAGCAAGGCGACTCCTATCTTCAAAACTGTAGGCATGCCCGACAGGGTGCGCGTAGTCAACCACCACCCACCTTTTGGAGAAGTAGGCAAGCACGCCCCGCGGGCCTTCGCTCGGCTTCACGACGAAGACCATCGTCGGCCTACATCTGCTCTCTTCCACTCGGATCTTCTTGCCCAGCTCAAACGGATCCCAGTGATTCCCGGGGCTTCTGAGCTGAAACCCGACTAGGACATTGCCGCGTCCTTTGCTAACCAAATCCCGCCTGTGTCCGACCGACGTTTGCCCGTCGCCGTCGTTCCATGCCACGACCTCTACGGGAACTCCGATCAGTCCGATCAGGCAGTTGAATCTGGCACTCATCTCCTTGCTTCCGGTTTTCCATACCGAATCGCACTGAGCGTTCACCACGCTCCTGTGACAGTGCCAATTCAGCCCCTGGAGGGCCCATTCAGGTTCAGAGCTCTTCAGAGAACCGACCTTGCAACAGTTTTGCACCGTCAATACAGTCCCGTCCGGCTCAACGGCCCAGACAGTCCGGCACGGATACTTTTCGACCTGGTCACCGGACAGCTGAGGGATTTCGGGCGAATGCCCCTTGTCCCAGCGTCCTTTCATCAGAATTCCGCCCTTGCCTGGCATCTTGACGGTCCACTTGGCGCCCCCAGATCCAGATTTCGGCAGGCTGCCGCCTCCCCAAGAGTGGATTGTCTTAATCCCGACGACCTCGGTAGTCCCGTCCGGTTCGCACATATTGGATGCCGCTCCGACTTCTTCTATCAGCGCAGCTCCGTCCAGTTCCTCAAGATCTCCTCGTTCTTCGCGTTCTTTCCTTTCCTGCGCTTCGACTACAGCATCTTGCGCCTCTCGTCGGATGCACGTCGGGCACCGGCTGAAAACGTAGGTACGCTTTCCGCAGGCACAGAGCCCGTCGTGCTCCCACATCTCTCTATCCTTCTCCCTGGCCAGACCAGCCAAATTCTGACTATTGATCCGCCCAATCTCCGGCACTCTCAGCACCTCCACGACCTGTTTCACTTCCTGGTCCTTCACGGTGCCCTTTGGCACCGAAGCATAGCCCTTGATCGGCTCCACTGGAAACTCCAGAGCCAACTCCGGGCAGGCCGCTTTCAAGAGGCCGGCTTCAGGTTTAGTTCTCCACCACCGCGGGGCTACTGCCCAAATGGCTTTCACTCGAGCCCACGCCAAGCAAATCTCCTGCGCTTCCTTTCTCTGCAGATTCCTAGCCTGCAGAACCACTTCCAAAACCAGAGGCCACCGCAGAATCCCTGCGACGATTCCTCCTTGCCCGAAACCAACAACGAAGTCCGGCCCATAATCCGCAATGGCCCGGGCCAGCTTGGCGGCAGAAGTCAACAAGTCGACTCTAGCCCTCTTGACCTTCCGGTCTCCTTGCAACCTACCGGTGGCCCCGTCAAACTGCGCCCAAACTCCGTCGTCATCCTCGAAGGCTCCATAGCATGGGTGAACAGTCACCGTCCACTCAGGCATCTTAAACTCTTCACAAACGCGTTGAAGCGCTTTCTCAGCGTCATTCTCATAGTCCACTGCGACCAGGATCTTCAGCTTCGCGGCGACAAGCCCATGAAGGCTACCGACGTACGCAACGTCTTCATGCCCACCTGGGAGGGCGTGGTCGCCCACTGCCCAAGGCACTGGTCCCTCCGGCATTTCATCCGAGAGATAGGCATCCAGATCGAATCCTCTGAGCTGCCCGGAGAGCCCGCGCGGTCAGGCGGTCGCTCCGTGCGGTCCAAATCCTGTCGCTTAGTGCGGCGCAAATCCTGTCGCTTAGTGCGGCAGTCACTTTCACCTTCAAGGGCCCGTTGAGCCCGTGTGGCCCGTTGAGCCCGTCGGGCCTGTTGGGCCAGCCCGTTGGGGCTGTTGGGACCGCTGTTGGGACTGCTGGGCCTGTTGGGACCGTTGAGCCCGCTGTGCCCGTTGGGCCCGTTGGGCCTGCGTTGGGCTTGAGCCTGTTGGGCCTGTTGGGCCTGTTGAGCTTGTTAGGCCTGCTGAGCCCGTTTGGACTGCTGAGGTATCTGCTCTGGCTCTTCGTCTTGGCTCGCTTTACTTTTTCTTTACAGACACGTGCCTAAAAGTGTGGTTTTACCTGCATCGCGTAAGTTCGCAGAAGGTTCGCGGAAGGGCGAGGCGGAAGACCGTTTTTGGAACAAGGAAGATGGGGTAAACTCTCATGTACATATGTATGTTATGTTATTGTATTTTATGCTATGTTGAGTTATGTCATGTTATGTTATGTGTGTAGTGTTATGTATGTTTGTATTGAAATTGAATGTAATGTAATGTAATGTGATGTATGCGTGTGTGTGTATGTGATGTAAGTTATGCTTGTTATGTATGCTATGTACGCAAGTATGTGTGTTATGCATGTATGTATGTATGTATGTACGTATATGTGCATGTATGTATGTATGTTATGCATGTATGTGTGTGTTAATGTAATGTAATGTGTAATATTTGTGTGTACATGTAATGCAATGCAGTTCATGCGTGTAATGTAATTTAATGTATGTATGTATGTATGTATGTATGTATGTATGTATGTATGTATGTATGTAGTGTGTAGTGTTATGTATGTATTGTACTGTAATGTAAGTTAATGTAGTGTAGTGAAATGTAATGTGATGTATGCGTGTATGTGCGTTATGTATGCCATGTACGCATGTATGTATGTACGCATGTTTGTTTGTAGTGTATGTATGTATGTATGTATGTGTGTGTGTGTCTGTATGTAGGTATGTATGCACGTATGTATGTATGTATGTATGTATGTATGTATGTATGTATGTATGTTATGTATGTAGGTATTTTTGTATGTAGGTAAGTAAGTATGTATGTATGTTTGTCTGAATGCATGCATGCATGTGTCAGTGCGTGCATGTGTTAATGTAGTGTCACGTGTGTCATATATGTAATGCAATGCAGTTCATGCGTGTGATGTTGTTTAATGTATGCATGTATGTGTGTGTATGTATGTATGTATGTATGTATGTATGTATGAATGTATGTGTTCATATATGTGTAATATATGTAAATAATGTATGCATGTATGTATGTTTGTTAATGTGTGTATGTTATGTTATGTGATATGTTTTGTTATGTTATGTTATGTGGGTACTGCTGTGTATGTAGTGTATGTATGTAATGTAGCGTGTCGCAGCGTATGCCCGCTGAGCCCGTTGGGCCCGTCGGGCCCGTCGGGCCCATTGGGCCTGTTGAAACAGCCCCAACGGGCCCAGCGGTCCCAACAGCCCCAACGGGACCAACAAGCCCAACGGCCCGTCCTGAACGGGCCACATGGGCTCAACGGGCCCAGCAGCCCAACGGGCTGAACGGGCCCAACAGGCCCATTGGGCAACGGCCCCAGCGGGCTCAACAGGCCCAACGGGCTCAACGGGCCCAACAGGCCCACAGGCTTAACGGGCTCAACGGGCTCAACGGGCCAACAAGCTCAACGGGCTCAACGGGCTCCTGCTGGATGTTTTCGCAGGTCGATTGCACCCAGTGACCTCAGCAGCCGTAAACCTCGGCTTTGACTGCTTCGAGCCTTTTGACTTGGACCACAACCGGGAACATGATAT